CCCACCTGGTTAATTGCTACTCTAATTTCTTTGTGTGGTATTTTTGTGAGAACTTAGTATTTGAGTTAAGATTCTATGGCAGCATACCCCCTAGTGCGCCGAAATTCATAACTCAAGAAATACTTCATCTTATCATACGATTCAAATTGGGAATTGTAGCCACCGACAAGGGCTACAACATAACTGAGTTTAGTAAAGTTTTGACAATGCAAATTTTGTCGACGACGTTTCTTGTGAAGTCGGCGATTCTGTCCAGAAACTAGGCCCAACGATTTTGAGATATTTAGGCCCCTAATCTTCGTAGACCTCGTCCTTAGTCTTTAACAGCCACAAGTCCTATCACTGCCGTTGGAGGAAGTCCGTCAAGAACTCCGGCAAGCCCAACCAGGGCAAGAAGCCGGATGGTTCTGGCCCTTCGGGCCCGAATGATTTTCCGAAGTCCAACTAGGGGGTGGGTACCTAGTTGGTGAGCGAGATCGAGTAGATGAGGCTTATGTCCTTCGTGATGAGGATTTACTATAGCTAGAGAAGCTTGCATCATGCAAAATCGCTTGTTTGTATGCCTCTTCTATAAATGAAAAATCTGTCTTTAAAACTCGATCATACCTACTTGAAAACATCTCAATGGAATCCTTGAGAGATAAATTTTCAATCATCTCTTGCTTGTTCAACGAGTTGCCAGCAATCATGGATATTGTGGACCGTTGTGACCAAGAGCACCCTCTCACGTCAGTGGGATTGGTGACTCGAATCGTGAGAGAGTTATTCCGCCGATTTCACGAATGTAATATCCTGGCAACATGTTACAAATGGCACCATGTTTGGTGGACCACATCCCAAAGATTTGGACGTGCTCACAACAAATTTAGGGTGTACTATCGACCTCCTAAACTTGTTGTCGCTTGCCCCATCTGCCCAAGATTCCAACAGAATTTACTGTAATCTGGACGCATGAATGGGGACGAAGCAAGGATTCTCGTCGATACAGGCGCGTCGGTTTCCCTTGTTGACGAAACTTGGGTTACGACACGCAACGTCCGGACCGTCATGTCCCATCTGCTTGGGTGACGATCGTGTCATTCCAAGTAAAGGACAGACACATATCGACATGAATCTACAGGACTATAGCAAAACAGTTCGCGTGTATGTCCTACCACTTTTGTCAGGTGTCGACCTCATCCTGGGCATGGATTGGTTGCGAGCCAACGAAGTCATTTTGGATTTCCAATACAACACTGTCTCGTTCAACAAGAACGGAAAGACAATCCAGTGGCAAGTCAATGATAGTTTGCTCACCGAAACACAGGCGTCTGAACCTTCAAGCGCGCTGTGTGTGTTGGCCAACCAGTTCAGGCATTTTGTTAAGTCGGCTGATACACTGTTCGTGGTGCAGCTTGAGAATGCCGAGGCCTCAGAGCCAGCAATTGAGGATTTCCCTCGTCAAATGCAAATACTGGCAGAGGAATTCAAAGAAGTGTTTGAAAACATCCCCGATGGACTTCCACCTGACCGCGCAGTGGGTCACACCATCCCTGTTGAACCTCGTAGGTTCCACCCTTTCGACCTCTGTATCGCCTCAGTCCAGCTGAGTACGAGGAGGCTAAACAACAGATCAAGGAATACCTCAGAAAAGGATGGATTGAATCTAGTGCATCCCCTTATGGAGCACCGATTTTGTTCGTTAACAAGGAGGGCGGAGGATTACGCATGTGCGTAGATTATCGTGCCTTGAACAAGATCATGGTGAATAACCGATACCCTCTACCAAGGATAGAAGATTTGTTTGGTTCCAAGGAGCTCAGTGGTTCAGTGCACTGGACTTAGCTCAGGGGTATCATCAGCTATGAATCACCGAAGATGTTCCAAAAACGGCTTTCAGAACGCCGTTTGGGCATTTTCAGTCGCGTGTGTTAGGTTTTGGGTTGACAAATGCTCCCGCATCATTTCAGGGAGCATTGAATGATGTGTTTCGGGAGGCAATCGGCCAATTCGTCCTACTATATCTGGATGACATCCTCGTTTACTCGAAGACAGAAGAAGAACACACACAACACCTGAAATAGGTGTTAGGAAAACTGCGAGAGCATAAATTCTTTGCTCGGTTGTGGAAGTGTCACTTCTACAAACGCGAGTTGGAATACCTTGGTCAATTGGTAGGCAACGATGGCCTCAAAGTTGATCCAAAGAAAGTGGCGGCAGTCCAACAGTGGCACGTTCCACAGGACGTGGGACACGTTAGATCATTTCTTGGACTTGCGAATTATTTTCGCCGTTTCTTGGAAAACTATTCCTCCGTAGTCGCTCCACTGACTGCCCTCACTCGCAATGGTAATGCTTGGCAGTGGACGGATCAATGCCAGAAGGCATTTGAGGAGGTGAAAACCATGCTGACCAATCCTCCAGTGTTGGCTTTGCCAGACCCGTCCAAGCTCTTCGAGGTGGTAACTGATGCCTCGACAGTAGGGATTGGAGCAGTTCTTTTGCAAGAAGGACGCCCCGTGGCATTTGAGAGTAGAAAGCTTTCACCCGCTGAGCAGCGCTATACAACTTCCGAACAGGAATTGTTGGCGGTTGTGCATGCGCTACGAACATGGAGATGTTATCTCGAAGGTGTTGACTTCGTGGTCACGACCGACCACTGTCCGAACACCTATTTTGCCTCTCAAGCCACACTCACCCGCCGTCAAGCTCGATGGGCTGAACTCCTCAGTGGGTTCACCTATGATATTCGATTTCGAGTGGGCTCGACGAACATGGCTGATCCTCTGAGCAGACAGCCGATTGGGGCAGCAACAGGTGTTGATGATAATGAACATGCAGCAGTGTTTGCTGCTTGTTTTAGCATCCTCGCAGCTGCTCGGGTGAGCGAGATTGCCTTTGGTGGTTTTCTGAAATGCATCCGCGCGGGGTATGATATTGACCCTTGGTTTCAGAACCCACTGAATACAAAAGATCTCTTGTGGGAGCATGAGCTCTGGTGGCACAAGAAAGAAATTGTTGTCCCACATGTGGGAAACCTGCGGAATGATATTCTCGTAGAGGTGCACGCCACTAAGTATAGAGGACACCTGGGTGTCAAGAAAACCCGGTGGGCCCTCAGTGATGTATACTGGTGGCCGGGATTGGGCATTGAGGTCCAGCAGTTTGTAACTCGCTGTGACACGTGCGCGCGGAACAAGCCAAGCACACAGAAGCCTGGTGGATTGCTTCAACCACTCGAGATTCCCGATGAACCTTGGGAGAGTGTATCGATGGATTTTAGCACCGATCTCCCTAAGACGCGAGATGGTCACACGGCGATTCTGGTGTTTGTCGATCGCTTGACCAAAATGGTGCACTTCGTGCCCACGACGACTGACGTGTCTGCGGAGGATATGGCAAAGTTGTTTGTGACGCACGTTTTCCACTTACACGGTTTGCCTCGTGTGATGGTGTCTGACCGAGACTCGCGCTTCACAAGCCGGTTCTGGCAAGAGGTCATGAAGACACTGGGAACGAAACTCAAGATGTCGTCTGCTTTCCACCCACAAACGGATGGACAGACAGAGCGGACCAACCGCACCCTTGAGCAAATGCTTCGTTCTTTCATAAGCCCAACTCAGGACAATTGTTGACAGTCGTGGAATTCTCCGTGAACAATTTTGTGCATGAAAGCACTCATGAGAAACCCTTCGTCCTGAACTGTGGTCAGCACCCCACAACCCCTGCGACGCATGGGATTAAGAACCTCAAAATCCCTGCCGCAAAGGACTTTATTGGAAAACAGCAAGCTGCATTGAAGTCCGCTTGCCACTGGTTGCAGCTTGCCCAACAGAGGCAAAAGTCCTATGCCGACATGAAACGCCGGGAAGTCGTCTTTGCAGTTGGCAACAAAGTATTACTGAGTACGAAGAATATTCGTCTCAACATCTCGGGAGCACAAAAGCTCTTCCCTCGTTGGATTGGGCCTTTCGGAGTGATTGCGCGAGTTGGTGAGGTCACATACAGGCTCAAGTTGCTTGCGACATTGCAGATTCACAACGTCTTCCACGTGTCTCTGTTGAATAAGTATGTTGCTGAAGGTAAGTACTTACCACCACCAACCATCGTTCTCGGAGAGGAACTCTTTTATGAAGTCGAGCGTGTGCTAACGCACCGTGATCGACAGCGCAGCCGCAAAATAGTTCGTGAGTTCCTAATTCAGTGGAAAGGCTATGGGCCGGAACACAACTCATGGGAGCGTGAAGAACACTTGACCCAAGCAGCGGTTCAAGCGTATATGAAAGACCTGGCTCTACGAGCAGGCCCACAACCAGTGGATAGGGTTGACCCTGGTCGTAATGTGGTGCGCCATGCTCGAAGCACTCGTCCTCAGAAGCACCCTAGGGCAACGGGGACGTTGCCACCTAGGGGGGGAGGAGTGTAACGCATCCCCTACGCCTACCTATCGACCTACCTCACTCCTAAGGCAACCATCGAGATTGAGCTCGATGAAGGTTGAGTTGCGAGAGATTGTAGTTGAGGTTGGAAAGGAAGGGTTGGGAAGGAAGGGTTGGTTAGGTTTGTCCAAACCTCAACATTGAGGCTTGGAACATTCCAACCCATCAAAGTGAAATCACTAAGGTTGGAATTCCAACCAATCAGAAACTTCAAAACAATTATTACAATCTACTCTATCCTAAACATAACCATTGAATGGTTCTAAGTTGGGTTTTCCAACCCAACACAATTGCCACATGAGCTCCAAGCCTAGGAACCATCCCCCCCATGGAAGCCATGGTTGGGAGAGTTCCCAAAGGGGTGTATTGAAGGGGTTTGAGTTTCCAAGCTCATTCTCAACCTCCCACTAAAACTAAACAATTGGTAATGGGATTGTTTTGCCTAAGTCATTGAGAGCTCTCTCACACAACTTCCTACTCAACTTCTTCAAGTGCTTCCCATCAAAGGCTTCAACAAGACTCACACCTTCAAGGCTATTTGGAGGGGTTAGCTAGAGCTACCATCTTGTACCGGGATTATTATTAAAACCTTGTAATCTCTACTATAATAGCCTTGGGTGTTACAGAGGAGGCGGAGCGGGGAGGGGAGGCGCAAGGAGGGGAAGGGGGAGTGAGAATGCGGGCACGCGTGGCTTGGGTTTGGCGGAATTGGGGCGAGGGGCAGGAGAAGGCGTGGCACGGAAAGCATGAGCGGGAGTTGAAGGGCGGAAGAGGGGAGAATGGGCAGGCGAAGGGGTGGGGAAGTGCGGGATAGAGGGAAAGGGGGGAGAGCACGCGGCAGAAACAAGAGGGCGAGCGCAAGGAAGGGTGCAAAGGGGGGCCGCGAGTGGGGGAGCTGGGGGGAACGCGGAGGAGGATGAGAGGGGGGGCGGGTGCAGGTGAACGCAGCAACGTGGGAGAAGATTGGTGCGAGATGGGGCAGAAGCGAGTGTGCCGCTTGAAACGACTGATGGTGCTGGCGAGACAGGTGCGGGGAGAGGGGAGGGTGGGGGATGGGGAGGGGAGGAAAGAAATGAGGGAGGAGAGGGGGTTGCTGGAGTGGGTTGCCGGAGAGAAGTCGAAGGAGGGGGGAGGAGGAGGAGTTGGGGTTGAGGGCGAGGGTGGGGGTGGGAATTTGTGACGGGGACGGGGCGGGGAAGGGGGAAGAGGAGGAGGAAGAAAGGGAGGAAGAAGAGCGTGTGGTGCATGGGGGTGGTGGGAGCATGAGAGGCGTGAAGTGGGGTGTGCTGTCACAGCGGTGGGGGCGGTAGAGGCTAGAGGGGGAGAGGATGAGAGGGTAGGGTGGGGTCCGAGGAGTGTGGATGGAGGGCAGGGGAGAGGCAACATAGGAGGAGCAGGGAGTGGAGGAGAGAGTGGAGTGGCAGGTGAATGGCGAATGAGTGGGTAGGTGAAGGCGAGGGAGGAGAAAGGGAGGAGAGAAGCTGCAAGGGAAAATTCTGGCGGTCCAGAACGTTCTCCCTTCTCTTCCTCCTGAAACCCTCGTTTCACCAGCTCTTCCTCAGGATCTCTCACCTAACTCTTCCCACCGTCAGAGCTCGTTATTCCAGCCTATTCTCTCCCACCGCCATAGGTAAGGCAATTTCCAAGTGTCCTGTTCTGTCGTTTTCATGCTCTAGAGTCGGTGCAGCGGCGAACCACTTCTAACAATCTCCCCTGTGGTTTGCTGCTGCCAACCTTAGATCTGAAAATCTTAATCAGTGTTCCTCCACCCTGCTCCCCTGTAAGTCCTGCAGGGTACGCATCCCGACAAGGTACTTGCAGCGCTCGAAATTAGCCTTCGGAAGGACCTTAGTAAGGAAGTCGGCTGCTTGATCTTCTGTCCGTACGAACTCAAAGGTAAATGCCTTTTTCTCTAGCTGTTCACACACCCAATGATATTTAATGTCCATGTGCTTGGTCCGCCCGTGCCAGTTGTCGTTTTTCGCCAATGCTATGGCCGATTTGCTGTCAGATCTGATGGTTGTTGGACCTTGCACACGTACTCCCATTTCTTGTAGCAATCGCCTTAGCCACACTCCTTCTTGGCATGCGTAGAATAACGCCATGTATTCCGCTTCCGCGCTCGAGAGTGCAATGTCGTTCAGCTTCTTCCCTTGCCATGTGATTGCTGTCCCGCCTAGGAGAAAGACGTATCCAAAAGCTCCCTTCCTGTCCTTCTTGTCTGATGCATGGGATGCATCAGCGTATCCGATTAACTCCATTGCTTCTTCTCCGCCTTCGTATAGTAGCCCCTCTTCTCCCCGTTGCTGCAGATAGGTGATTGTGCGCTGCATCTCCTTCCATTTGCGGCCTTCTGGCTGCAGCACGTTCTGCCCCAAGAAGCTGGCAGCATGTGCACCGTCTACCCGCGTACAAGAGACAGGGTACATCACCGATCCGACCCGTGACTGGTAAGCCTTCAATGCCTGCTCCTTGCTGCCCCACTGGATGAGTTCTTCTTCTGGATTGACTTCCTTCTCTGACAGGCTGCTGAGCGGAGTGGTCACTGCCTTGGTGCAGTCCCGTGTTCCAAACCTTTCTTGCAACCGATGAATATACTTCTTTTGGTAGAGTAACAGCTTCTTCCCTTCTCGGTCCCGCTCCAGGTTCATGCCAAGGAACAACGTGGCTCTCGGGATCTGCTTCACTTGAAAAACGGCTGCAAGGTGAGTACACACTTCCTCAACTCTGTCCTCCAAAGCTCCAGCCACTAGGATGTCGTCGACGTAGAGTAGGAGGTAGACTTTCTCCTCTCCTTCGCCTTTCCAGTAAAACGCCCTGTCGCATTGGCTTTTCTGAAATCCCCCTTCGAGTAGGCGTGCATCCATAGCCTTGTACCACTCTCGAGGGCTCTGTTTCAGCCCATAGAGCGCTTTCAGTAGTTTGCATTTCCTGTCAGTCCCGTCCTCCATTCCTGTAGGCTGATCCATGTAGATGTCCTCTTGAAGTTCTCCGTACAGGAAAGCGTTCTTGATATCAAGTTGAACCATGATGTAGTTGCGTGCCGCAACGATCTTGAAGAGTGTCCGCGCTGTAGTCAATTTGCTGACTGGTGCATATGTCTCCGTGTAGTCGATCCCCTCCACTTGCGTATAACCTTTTGCCACCAGCCGTGCTTTGAACCTCTCCAGCTGCCCCTTATCCCCTGTTTTTATCTTGAAAATCCACTTGACGCCAACGGCATGCCTCCCTTCGGGCATTTGGACGAGTTTCCAAGTGCCTCTTTCCGCAAGAGTGTCCAACTCTTCTTGTATAGCTGCTTTCCACTGCTCCTTGTATGGTCCAGAGAGTGCTTCCTCAATGCTCAAGGGTTCATGCGGCAGATTGTAAGTCTCTCTCCTTTCCTTGGTAATCAACGCTGTCACCGTTGAGGTGAGGAGGAGGTGAGTGTGCACGTCTTTCCAGCATGTCATCAGGACCTGTTGGTATTTTTGATTCGGTTTCTTCGTCCGCTTCCCCCTTCCCAGCTCCTCTCCTTTCACCGAAGCATCACTTGCACCCGTGTCTGCTGCCATCTCCCCTGCTTTCTCCGTGCTTGTGCCGTCTTCCTCTCTCCCAATAAGAATGGCTCCATCCTGCAGCAAGGTGTCAATCCCTGCAGCTCCTTTGTCATTGTTGCTCGTCTCGAAAAATTCCCACGGGTCGCTTTTTCCCTCGGTACTTGACTGATCTGCTTGTTCAGCTTCATCCTCTCCAATGTCTCCATCTTTGTCGCTCGCTGATTTTGACAGAAGTGGAGTTGCAGGCGCCGCTTCCATATCACTGTTGTCGAGCTTATCCTCCGTTGGCTCCCACACCCAATCCACTCCAGCTTGGGTATGTTCTTCTTCATCTTCTTCCCCTTCGTTGTTCGCTGTCCCCAAGCCTTCGTTTTGGGCATCTTCAAGCAGTTCCTCCGCTCGTTGAGGTGTGGCAGGTGCTGTCCTTGGAGTTGTGCCCGTGTTGCTTGCCTTCCAGTCCACGTAGCTGAGGTTTTCGTAGAATGTGACATCCCTGGTCGCCAGAACGATCCCAGTCTCCACGTCTTTAATAATCCAGCCTTTGCTCTCCGGGCATGTCCCTAAGTGCACCCCCCAACGTGCTCTTGGCAGGAGTTTGTGATCAGCTCCAGCAGAGGGCCTGTATTGCGTCATGCAGCCCCATACTCGAAGAAACTTCAGGTTAGGTTTCCGCTTGTAGAATGCTTCGTGAGGTGTCTTGTCCGCTACAAGTCCCTTTGTCGGTAGGCGATTTTTCAGCCAGCAAGCCATACCCAGCGCGTCTCCCCAGTAGGTTAGAGGTAGCTTGCTGTCCGCTATCATGCTTCGCACGCTGTTGAGCAGTGTCCTGTTCACCCGTTCCGCAACACTGTTGTGTTGAGGGGTATGGGGAATAGTACGCTGCCGTCGTATTCCCTTGGCTTTCAGGTAGTCGTTGAACTCCTTGTTGATGAACTCCCCACCATTGTCAGTTCGAAGTACTTTCATCTGCTTGCCGCTTTGCCGTTCAGCTTCCGCCAACCAGTCCACAAAGCTCTGAAAAACCTGAGTTTTATCCATAAGTTCCGTCACCCATGTGAGTCTTGTGCCGATGTCTGTGAACGTGACAAAGTATCTGCTGCTATGTCGTGATGTGACTCTCATGGGACCGCATACATCCGCTGCTACCACTTCCATTGCCCCATATGGCTCCTTCGGTCCATGTCTTGGATGGGGAGCCTTGGTAGCTTTCCCTTCGATACATGAGTCGCACTTCGTGTGGGTTTCCTCAGCTCCAGTCACCTTCACTCCCGCTGCCATGTTTTTCTTCATCATTTCCTTGATCCGTTGAGTGTTCGCATGCCCCATCCTTTTGTGCAGGAGATTGATATCAACCGCTTCCGCCGCTGCTGCTACGGGAAGCTTCAGCTGCTGCAGTTCGGTCACTGCAGTATTTTCCAGCATGGTACGTAGGTCTTCTCGGGCCTTCTTCCCCTCTTCATGTTCAGGTTGATAGGTGACCTTGCTTTCACGCGAATCTTGCTCCTTCAACTTCATCTCGTAGAGTCCTTGAGTCCGTGCGCCTTCCGCTAGCAGTTGCCAGTCGGGACCGAACACCCACAGCTTTCCGTTGTCACTGAACGTCTTGCAACCACTGCTGTCCAGTTGCGTTTGACTTATCAGGTTGAGGGACAGCTTCTCCACCAGGAGAACGTTGTCCATTTTCAGCTCCCCATAGGGGCTCTGTAAAATGAGGTCCCCTTCTCCTTGCACTTGAAGTTTTCCTTCATCCCCGAGTAAGACGTAAGGGACTCCGGATTCCCGGTAGTCGCGTAGCCAGTCAGCGCGGTGCGTCATGTGCTGTGTGCACCCGCTGTCCATAAACCAAGCCGTCTCCTTGAATCCTTTTGACAGCAGGCACACCTCGGATGCTCGAGCAACGTTGGCTTTGTGGGCGCCTCCAAGGATGGCGTCCACCTTTGGCGTTTCTTCCACTGCTGCAGGTGCCTCCATCAGGTTTGTCTTCGCTGCTGCTGCTGGTCTTTGTTGTTGCAGCTCCTTTCCTCGGAAGTTTCTGCTAAATCGGTTGTTGTAGCAATCGGAAGCTTTGTGCCCATATTTGCTGCAATGGTTACAATTTCCATTGAAACCTCCGCTTGCCTTGTAGCCTTCTCCACGCCTTGCATCGTTGTGTTGTTGCCACTGTCCTTTCCCTTTGTAGTTCCTTCCATTGGGGTTGGAATAACAGTCGGCAGCTTTGTGCCCCTTCTTCCCGCAGTTGTAGCAGTTGCCAAAATCCCTTGGTGTTGCAGTTGCATTCAGATTTGCAGGCCTGTTGACCTCTGCTGCCGTTGCCACTGCTTCCCTCCTTTTCAGGTCAGATTTGACCAGCTCCAGCGCTTGGAGGGTCTCAGGAGGGAAGGTGCGAGTGAAGGCCGAGGGACGACGCAACCAGACCTCCTCGTGTAGGCTGCCCTGAAGGAAAGCAGTGGAGAAGTCGAGAGAGTGTAACTCGTAGTCTCTCTGTGCTGCTACGTGTAGTAACACCCGAAGAGTGGTCATCTTCGGGGTAGGTGCGAAGGTCTGAAAGAAGTCAACTCCCTCGCGCTGACTGAAACCTCTAGCCACGTAGCGCGCCTTGAAGACCGGGGGAGATCCCGGTGGCCGCTTCACCCTGTAGATCCACATGCCGTCGACTACGTTCGCCCCAGGGGGGGGAACCTCATCGACGTAGGTGCCTGTGGATCTGTAGGAGGCCATCTCTGCGTCCATGGCAGCTCTCCACTGAGAGGCCCAAGGCCCTGACACTGCCTCAGCGTAAGTGCGAGGAGTCGGAATGTCAAGGGCGTCGGGGTCACCCTCAGGGGCGAGGAGCATGGCACAGAGATGAGGGGAAGCGGCCGCCAGGAACTCTAGCTCAAACTGCCTGTCCTCTAGGGTGTCACAGCCAAGGGCAGACACACCCCCGACGGCCAGAGGACTGGTAGGAGGAGCAGCCACAAGCGTGGTGGCGTAGTCAAGGCGGCGGGTAGAGGCAAAGTCAGTAACTGCGGCAGTAAGAGCGGACACAGAGGACACAGAGGCACGAGGGTGAGTAACAAGAGAGGCGAGAACACGAGAGAGAACAGGACGGTACGTGCGGTAGTAGTCAGTGACAGGAGTAGGGAGCGACACAGTGAGGGCCGACTCAGGAGGAGACGGAAGCACAGACTGAGACGGACGAGGTGGACTAGAAAGAAGGAAGGCAGTACGAAGGTCAGTGAAGGGAACAGGAGACGAGGGACGAGCACGAGGGGAGCGACGAGTAGCCCAAGAACGAGACGGAGGAGGAGAGGACAAAGGCGGAGAACTGGGGAAAACAGCGGGGGAGGAGTCAGGAGGAGGAAACGTGGGACCGTAGACAGGAGGAGAGGCGGAGGAGGGAGGAGAAGGGGAGGGGAGACCAAGGGTCCGAAGACCCGAGACAGGAGGAGGAAGTGGCTGCTGCTGCTGCTGCTGCGACTGCTGCTGCTGCGGAAGCGGCTGCTGCTGGGACTGCTGCTCCTGCGGGTCCAGCTGCTGCTGCTGCTGCTGCTGCTCCTGCGGCTCCAGCTGCTGCTGCTGCTCCTCCAGCCGCTGGAACTCCCTCTCCTCTCTCTCCAACGCCAGCTGCTCGTCACGGGCACGGCGAACACGAGCCTGGTGCCTAGTCGGGTAGGGGTGGGGGGGCGGAGTAGTGTCCGAAGCAGCGGTAGCTCCAGAGTCCACCCCCGAAGAACCAGGCGCACCACCCCCAGAGGCAGCACTAACACCAGCTCCAGACCCAGGCTCACCAGAACCCGAAGGAGGCGCACTCTCACCCCCAGTGTCCGCGCGACCAGCACCAGCTCCCGGACGACAAGAGTCCTCTGCACCCACCGGGTCAGCTCCAACTCCAGAACCAGAAACTCCAG